CCCCTCGCCCCCAGCCCCCGGGATAAAAGCCATCTACCCGGACTCCCCAACATACACCTGGTACCGCGAGCCCACGCCGTCCGGGCTCCGCGACGCGCACCGCTATATCCTCGAATACATCACCAAGCACGGGCCGTACGATGCCGTGATGGGGTTCTCGCAGGGCTGCTCGCTGATCGCGAGTATGCTGCTGTACCACGCGCACGATAAAGAGCGCGGGAGCCGGAATGGGGAGGGGGTGGTGGATGGGGTGCCCTTCAAAGGCGCGATCTTCATCTGCGGCGGGATCCCGCTCTATGCACTATCCGACATGGGTCTCCCCATCAGTTCGGACGCAGAAGAGATAAACAGAGCGACGGGCGCATTGCTCCAGAATACTGCGACGTCCCTGTCAACGTTTGCGTCAGATATCTCGCTTATACAGCGGGGCGTTGGGCTATGGGACGGGAATGTCTCCTCGAAGAGTTTAATCCACGACCCCGGGACGCGGCCACCGCGGGACGATGTCTATGGCTTGGATTTCACGGCTTTCCCGACCTGGGCGAGGATCGAGATACCGACTGTGCATGTTTATGGGGCGAAGGATCCGCGGTGGCCGGCGGGGGTGCAGTTGGCGGAGTTTTGTGTCGATAGGGTTGAGTTTGATCATGGGGGTGGGCATGATATTCCACGGGGCTCGGTGGTTTCGGAGAGGATTGGGGGGTTGGTTGAGGGGTTGATGAGGAGGATTTAGATGTGTTCAGTTGGGATGGGATGGAGTTACAAGGTTAGGGTTAGAGTTGGTGATGGGTTGGTTGCGGGCGTGTGATGTCATGCCTGACTCTGTAGAGCGTCATCATGACAGGAATAGAAGCACTTTTGTCTCGATCTAATTGCGATCGAGTGAGCACATTTTATAAATTACTTCGTGCCCCTGCTGAAGACTGGGAAGTCTAATTCAGCCAGCTTGTCGATCATTGATTTATATCCCATACCACCAAAATGCCACAGAACCCGAAGAACTATACCGACCCCGAACTCCGAGAGCAAGTCAAAGAGGAAGTCCAGGAGGGCGATAAGGGCGGGAAACCAGGGCAATGGTCTGCGCGAAAGGTCACCTACATTTGCTCCCCCTCCTCGGGAACCGTTAGCTAACGTGTACAGGCCCAAATGACAGCCTCCGAGTACAAAGCGCGCGGGGGCGACTACACAACATCCAAGGACGAGAAGAGGCCAGAGCAAAAGAGCCTCGACAATTGGGGTGATGAGGAGTGGCAAACGAAAGAGGGGTCTGGGACCGCGAAGCAGGATGATGGGACGCGGAAGCGATATCTGCCGAAGAAGGCGTGGGAGAAGCTGAGCGAGAGTGAGAAGGAGGCGACGGAGGAGAAGAAGAAGAAGGGATCGAAGGAGGGGAAGCAATTCGTCGGCAATACGGGCGAGGCGAAGAGGAAGAGGGGGGAGGTCAGTAAGGAGGGGGAGAAGAAGGGTGACGATAAGGGTGCTAAGGGGAAGGGGAAGAAGGGGAGTAAGAAGGGTGAAGAGGGGGTAGATGGAAAGAAGGAAGACAAGAATAGGAAGGATGGTGATGATGAGCAGCAGGAGGATGAGGATATGGAGGAAGAAGATGAGGAATATCAAGAGGAGGGCGATGGAAAGGTAGAAGAAGATGAAGAGGACGAAGAAGCTGAAGGTGATGAAGACAATGGGGACGGGCAGGGCGATGAGGACGAAGATGAAGAAGAAGGAGAGGATGAGCAAGCAGACGGAAAGAAGGAGGCAGAGACGGAGACCCCAGAAGGCGAGCAACCAGAGAAGAAGCGGCAAAAGCAGGACTAATATAGATACTAGCAATGGGTAGATCCCGACGAAATTCACATATACTTCAGCTTGACACGATCAACTCGTATATTGCAGGTAAAGTACACTTCACCACTGTCGTACAAAAGCCTTAGCACAAGCAGCCGCAGTGGCCGCAGCGTACTCCTGCCACAGTTTGTTCTTATGGCTATCGGCGTAGTCGCATACCCCCTTGATAATCCCACACGGGATGGCATCCCACACCCCAGCGCCCTCCATTTCAAAGGCAATAACGTTCGTGTCCTTGCTGATCGCATCCCGATGAATGGCAGACTTGACCACACTATCACCGGAAGCAAAGAGCCCAATATGTGTCTTGGGCTTATTCTGCTTGTTTCGCCTGCAACGCTGGACGAGCCGCGCACTGTCGCAGCCGAGGTCTTCACAGGTGGCCTCTCGAGAATTGCTGCAAAGCGAACCGGTATTCCAACTCCATCTGGCGCATAGACTGCAATCCCCCGCGTGCTGATGCTTATGTTGATAGTTCGAAGCATACAATTTGTCCTCGTCCTCGCGTGGATACGGCGTTGGTTCGTCATCTGTCTCAAGGTGGGCAGTGATCTGGGCCTCCAGCCTACTGCGATGCACTTTTGTCTCCAATTTTGCCAGAGCCGATGAAATGCGTGCATTAGGCCGACCGAGTGAATGCTGGACGTCGATCTTCCGCTTGAAGCCGTCTGAGAACTGTCGTCCAAAATCACATTGCACTACCCCATCGCTTATGAGCACGTCCCCAAAAAGGACTTCCTTTCCGTTCTTTTTGAATGGGGCTGCACCGCAGACGCCAACGACAAGGGCGAGCTTCACGTTGGTGAAACTGCTGGCGCAGTACGCAGCTAGAGTGGCTGAGGCAACTTTGCCCATTCGTGGCTGATGAGCAAGAACAACGTTGCGTCCTGCAATGGCACCCAGGATGTAGGAGATCGGGTCAGTTGCGTCTCTTCCCCAAAGGCACGGGTCGTCATCCCATACATCTTTGAAAGTGGACAAAACAGCGGTAGCCTCGAGAGGCAGGGCGCAGATTATAGCCACCTCGAATTCGGTCTTTTCTGGGACGTTTGAGGCCGAGCTGAACGATACAATACCAGAAGCTAGTGAAGCATGTCGTGTTAGGGAGGGCTGGGGCATGTTTGGCTGTTCTGGAGAGAATGAACAGGCACCGATAGGAGTCCATTGAACTGCTTGCTCAAGGTCGTTTGTCTCGGAGATTATCTCCAGAGCAGAGAAAGTTGACTTTTGGACATGTTCTAAGCCTCGTCCGTGATGATAGCTCCGATCAAGGTCCTCGGAACCTAGCTTGTTGATGATCTTGCAGACGCCCTCTTCATCAAACTTCTCCCGTCGGAGCCACTTGGCCTCGTCCCATGTCCACTTCGCACCGTGAATAAGATCCTCTTCTAGCGGCCTGACGGCGTTCGAGTAAAAGGCATTAACAAAGGCTTGTTTGTTAAATAAGAGATCGATATTAATATTAGCAAACTGCAGAAAAGCGTTCCAGTCAATGCAAAATCTGACGGCTCGCAGCAGTCCGGACTCGTGGAAACGCATCTGGCATCCACGCAGCAGATGTCTGGCTAATTCAAATTGGCGCCTTCGGAGGGTCGCATATCTTGGTTGCGCGTAGAGTTCGGCAAGGTCATCTCCGGGCTCAACCTCCATGAGAACGATCGCTAGGGCAAGGATGGTCGGGAACGGATGGACGCTGTACTCGCTGCGCTTTCTTGTTGGAGAAGGAGGTCCAGTTTCAAATTTAGTTGAGACCATGAGCCTGTTGAATAACGGATACGGACGCTCGTTCTCCAAGCGACAGAAGAGCGAAATGTCGTCAATTGCGAAGGACTGGAGAATCCAGGGGCCGTCGAGGAGGTGCAGGACAGACCGGGTGAGGATCACTCCCAGGACCCTTTTTGCAGCGTACGTGGGCTTCACAGTGGCCAACAACGTCCCCAGACTTTGTTCGGTGCACTCTCCGTCCAGTCGGGGTCGAGACGGAACTTTGCTTCAACGCAGTGTCCTAGTCGTCCGGTATGTTCGTGCTCATCGAGACAGGGCCAATTGGCGTGGAGAACATCGTACAAAGTGCGCGCGAGGTGTCGGATGCTGGTCTCCCCGCAGAACGCCGACTTGGTAATGATAAACAATTGATGTTGAGTGACGTTTTCTGGATCGTCCTCGAATGCATCGACCATGCCATCATAGATCTGGTCGACGAACTGATTCCAATCCTTCACGGCTTTCAGCAAATGATCTATGGCCCGACGGTCTGGACTCAAGAAGTCGACTACACGCACTTTGCTCCGCAGTTGGCTCCCTAAGAGCTCATGCGTCATTCCAAGAGTTGGATAAGGGGAATCGGCCCATGTGCATGTGGCGGCGTTTTTCCTGGGCCAGGCCTGGAGGAAAGGGAATCGGAAGCCCCCGGTCTGAGTCTCCTTCTCCATCATCTCATCGTATTTGGCCTTCACCAATTCATCGCGCAGCGCGTTGTTCATAGCCCTGGCAAGGTTCTGGAACGATGCCCTTGGCTTGTTGGACGAGACCGATTGCTTGATGAGCGCATTGTCCTTGAGTTCGGCCACCAGGATTGCCAGAGGACGTTTTAAGCGGCGATAGATGGGCGGACAGTCACGTCGATTTGCTCTTCACTTGTTGCTCGTCTCCTGCGGAGAAAAATAACATTGTTATTAAGTCGGATGGCCATGCCATGCATATATAGCACCGATGAGAGTTTCTGTCAGCCAAAGGTGGAGATCTCTTATTTTGGTGGAGTTCTTATTTATTAACGCCTTTACATGCCGCGTTAGTATAGAAAAGTAAGGTGCTTAATGCCTTACTATTTTAGTAAAGGAATTAGGCTATTAATAAGTTTTTAAAAGCTTAAAATATTTATATAAACCCCTAGGTAGCTTTAGCTTTTAATAAATAGCTTATTTTTTTTATTTTTTTTTATAATATTTAATTAATAGCTTTATTAATTAATATAATATATAAAGGGCCTTATAATTATAAGCCTAAATATTAATTTAATAATTTAGCTTATTAAATTTTTACCTTTTTTAAATATTTTAAAGTTATTTATATTTTTAAATATATACCTTAAAGTTATACCAAGCCTTTTTATAATTAATTATTTTTTTTATTAAATTAAAATAAATATTAATTAATTTTTAACTTTTATATTTAACTTAAAAGTTATTATAACCTTTATTAATAATATTATAAGTATAAAAATTTTTTTTAAGTTTAAAAATAACTAGCTAGCTTAATATAATTAAATTTTTTATTTTATTTAAATAATAAAAGTTTAGGAATTTTTTAACCTAAATATTTTTTAAAAAAAAAAAAAAATTTTTTTCCTAAGTTACCTCCTAAAAATATAATTAAAAAAGCTTTTAAAATATATAATAAATACTAGCTTAATATTAAGTATTATTATATTAAAGTTTAAAAAATAAATAAAGTTATTTAAAAAACTATTATTATTTTTATTTAATAACTTATTAAAAATAAACTTATTATAAAAATTTTAATTAAATTAAAATAATAGTTTACTTTAACTAATTTTAAAATTAAATTAAAAGTATTTAATAATTATTTTATGGTTTTAAATACTTTAATTTAATAAAGTAAAATTAATAATTAGCTTTAAAATTATAAAAATACTTATTAAAAAATTAAATACCTTAATTAACCTAAATTAAAAAATAAAATAGTTAATATAACCTTTTTATAAATAATTAGTAAGTATTTAAACTTTTATATAAAATAAAATACTAATTAATTAAATTAAAAAGGTATTAATTTAATTTTTTATTTTTAGTTTATATTTAAATATTAATAATATTTTTTTATAATTAATAGCTTTTTTAAAAACTTTGCTAAAGCAGTGGCCTTTATAACTTTTAATAAAAAGTTAAATATTTTTTTTAAAATAGTACTTATTAATAACAAGCTTTTTTATTTATATAGTTATTTTTAAATAATAAAATAATATTAATACTTTATATAATCACGCAGGAAGCCATGGTATAAACCTAAAAAAAATATAAATAAAAAAATTAATAAAGCTTTTAATAAAAATAATAAATATAATAAAAAACTTTAAAAGGTAAGGGCTAAAAATAAATAAATTTTTAAAAATAAAAAAAAGTTAAAAAAAAAAGCTTAAAAAGCTTTTTTAATTACTTAAGCTATAATAAAAAAAATATTATAATTATATACTTATTATAAGTATTTAAAATAATTTAATATTTTAAAATACCTTTATTTTTAATACTAGTGCCTTTATTTATATTTATAATAATTTTAATTATTTTACCTTTTTTAATTAATTAAAAAAAGGTAATATTTAAGTAAAAAATATAATTATTATTATTTAAGGCATGGGATTAGTACTTTTTTATTTTAAGGCTTTAAATAATAAAATAATACCTTTTATTTTTAGTAAAGTGGCCTTTATATTTAACTTTTATATTAATATTTTAGTAGCTAGGCCTTTTAAAAAGGCTAAATATTTTTAAAATTTTAATACCTTAATTACCAAAAATAGTAAACTAGTATTTTATCTTAAAAATTATTTATTTAGCCTTTAAATAATTAAGTTTAAAAAAAACTTAAAGCCTTAAAAAAAGGCTAATACCTTAACCTAATAAAAGATTAAAACCTTAATTTAAAAAATTTATATTAAAAAAAATTTTAAAGCTTTTTACTAGCGCCTAGGCTATATTAATAATAAGGTATTTTAATATTTATTTATTATAATTAAAAAAGTTTAAATTACTAGTTTTTAACTGCCTTAATAATATAATACTTATAAATATAAATAAGCCCCTTAATAAATATTTAAAAGGCCTAAAAATCCTATTATTATATTATTTAATTAAGTTTACTTTAACCTAATTTTTATAAAAAAAGTAATAAATAAAAAAAGTAAGTAATTTATTTTTATAATAAAAATACTAAGTTTTACTAGGCCTATATTTACTAAAAAACAAGTAAGTATAAAAATATTATTAAGTAATATACTAAGCTTATTTAAACCTAGTTTAATATTATTTTAAAAGTCTTTTTTAATAATTATAAGCCTATACTTAATAATAATATTTTTAACTTTATTATATTATAAGGTATACTTTAAAATTAATTTACTTTTTATACTTTTTTTTAAAATAGTATAGCTAAGCACTCTAGTGGTATATTAATTAAAAAAGTAAAAATAATAATTTTTTATAAAAAAATCCTTTTTAATATATAGCCTTAGGTTATAAAGGCTATAGCTTATATTAGTAATTAAATTTTTATTAAGCCATTAAATTAAAAAATATTATAAAAAATACTTACTAATAAAAAACCCTATATTTTTAGCATTAAAACACTAAATTATTTTACCTAGGTAAAACAAGCCTAAAAAAAAGTTTTTATAAAATAAAACTAAAGGCTTTATTAAAATACTTACTAGGCTATATTACTTTAAATATTTAGTAAATTTAGTTCCCTAAAAAATAGGTTGTTTATGCCTGTAAAAATATTATTTTTAATAAATTTAAATTATATAATTAAAAAAATTCCATTTTTATTATTAATATTAAAATTAAATTACTAAAGCCACCAGCCTAAGTTTTTAATATTCCCTTTTAAAATTATAAAACCAAGGAAATTAACCTAAACCTTAACTTTAGTAAATTTTTTAAATAAAAAAAAATAAAGGTATTTTAAACAAGAATAGGCCACGGGTAGTAAAAATTTTAAAAAAAAAAGGTATTAATAATAGTAATAAATATAAAGTAAAAAATAAGGCTTAAAATACTACTAGTAAAATTAAAAATATTACTAATAAAAAAATAGCCTTTAATTAGCTAAGTAGGTTTTTATACTTGCTAACTTTTAAAATAACTTTTAAACCTTATTATTATAAAAGGCTTATATAAAACTTAGTCTTATAAATAGCTTTAAAGGCCTATTTAAAAAATCCTTAGTAATAAATTTTATACTTTTAAGTATTTTAATATTTTTTTATTAATCTAGCTAGTAAGTAATTACTTAAAAAAAATAAATAAGCATGCCTAGCTTTTTTTTTAGCCCTTAAGCTTAGCGCGCTTAAAAGGTAAAATTTTAATAACTTTAACTTTTTTTTTAAAATATTCAGGCGTAAACTTAAATAATATAATATTAATAATTATATATATAATTTAAACTTAAATAAAGCTTCCTTAAATAATTTAAATAATTTTAATTATATTTAATTTATTTTTTTTACTTTTTATTAAAACCTTGCAAAAAAATACCTTTATTAAAATAATTTTTTTTTTAAGTACTAAAGCAATTTTAAAAATTATTTACTTTATAATAAATTTTTAAAGGCTATAAATCTTAAACTAAAAGCTTTTTATAAAATAAAAATATAAAAAGTAGTAAATAAATAAAAGGCAGGAATAAATAAGCTAATTTTTTTACTATAAGTATTTATTTATAAACTTAATATTAATAGTTATTTTATTAAGGCTAAAGCCTAAATTTATATATATAAAAATTTAAAACTAAAATTTTTAAAAAAATTAAGTAATAATTACTTTAATAAGGGTTTTTAAAGCTCTTATAGTACTTATAACTACTTTTAACCTTAATTTTAATTAAAAAAATATTATTAACATGTTTTTTAATACTACCCTTAAAAAAGTAATATATTTTTACTTTTTAAATAATTATAAGTAATAAAATAAATTACTAAAGGCCCTTAAGGCTATTTATAGCTTTTAAAAGTTTTTATATTTTTAATAACTTAATTTAATTATAATACTATAAAAATTTAAATTTATTATAATTCCTAAAAAAAAGTGCCTTTATATTAATAAGTTTATAATTTTTATTATTTATATAAATAATATTATTATTATAAACCTTTTTACTAAAAAAGGCCAAGCTACTATAACTATATTTAAAAAAAAACTAGTAGCAAAGTATAAGCTTTAGTATTTTAATAAAATAAAATAATTTTTAAAAATTTAAATTATTTAAAATAAAAAAAAGTATAAGGTTTAGTTATATTAAAACTTTTATATTAAAGTAATTATAAACTAATTTTACTTAAACATAATAGTTTAACTTTTAAAAACACCTTTTTTTTAATAAGCTTTATTTAAACTTTAGTACTGCTACACCTTAATAAATTAAAAAAATAAGGTTTAAAGTTAGCTTAATTAAATATATAAGCATGCTTACCTATTTAAATATTTTTTATATTATTAATTAATTATTAAAATATTTAGTTAATTTAATAAATTATTATTAATATATAATAAATTAACTTATTTTTTATTTTTATAATACATGCTTTATAGCCCTTAAATACTCTGGTTTAAATAGCTTTAAAAATAAGCTTATTTTAAAGGTATATAATTTTTATAAGGCCTACTTTAATATAGCCTTTATTAATTAATTTAATTACTTTTTTAATATAGACTATATTTATAAGTTATATAATAATTTAATTAAATAAAAAGCTATAAAATAATATTTAATTATAACTTTAATAATTAAAGTAAAATTACTAGCTTTATTTAAGGCTTTTAAAGTAACTTACTAGTAGTATTAAATTTTTAATTTAATATAATTTAATTTTTAATACTATTTTTTAGTTTAATATAATAATAAATAAATTATTAATATTTTTACTAGCTTTAATATTTAATATTAATTAAAATTTTAATATATTAATATTTATAACTTATAGTTTTAATAAAAAGTTTAATATAAAAATTTTAAATTTAAATAAATTTTTATAAATTAAATAATTATAAATAGCCTTACTAAGCTACTTACTAAATAGTAATATTATAAATTTATTAAAATACTTAGTTTAGTAAATATTTTTAGCCTTATTTTTAGTATTTAGTAGGTATTAAGGGGGTGTATTAACTAAAAATAAAAATTTTTTATTTTAATAAAGTTTTTATTTATTAATACCTTTATATACCACGTTAGTATAAAAAAGTAAAATATTTAATATTTTATTATTTTAATAAAAAAAATTAGGTTATTAATAAGTTTTTAAAGGCTTAAAATATTTATATAAACCCCTAGGTAGCTCTAGCTTTTAATAAATAACTTGCTTTTTTTTATTTTTTTTTATAATATTTAATTAATAGCTTTACTAGTTAGTACGGTATACAAAGGGCCTTATAGTTTCGAATTAAAAAGATTGTGGGTAGTAGCGTTGAGTGGCTTCTATCTTAGACAAATGTTTATCATAAGATTAAAGTTACAATAAACATTCCAATCACAGGGCAAGATGGCCGAGCGGTTTAAGGCGTGGCACTCAAGAGCATACAAATCTTGTCTGGACACATCCAGATTTGCCATATCGAAAGATGCCAGGGTTCGAATCCCTGTCTTGTCATATTTTTATTTTTGCCGCTGGGCCCACCAGCCGTCGTGACCATAATAGGTAATCTCAACCCGGCAATCAAACAAATCGTCGAAAACCCTTGGTCGGAATGCTCCTTTTTCTATATTGCTTGCTTCTGTCCTTCCTCGAGCGAGCTATCCCCTCATCGCATGAAAAGAGATCACAAAGCAGGAATGAGTTTGCCTAAGTATTGTATGTGCCTTCGAAGGCCAGGACAGTCGTCCGCCCCTTCGATGACAGACGACAACAAAATGCAAGAGAACAAGTAAGGCAGGGACTGTCGTTCTGCTCGCGCAGATGGGGAAGCTGAGGAGGCATACCTGGGTATGTAAACTGGGCGTATTTTACGGAAAACTAACTCATATTCTGCATTGATCATGCGAGACAAGAACCGTGATCATTTAGTTTTTGGAGGCCGGAGTCTGCTTATATTTACAAACTCGTAATAGTCAAGACATGGTGTTACTCGGCAGTGTTCGTCAATGGATCGGTAGTACCTTGATTGCGGTTGTATCGACGAGGAGGAATCCAGAAGCCAGCGGTGCCGGAGACATACCTACGTGGCAGCGACGTCGCTGTCAAAAACATCGTTCTGTGAAGGGTAATTCAGAAGAGGAGATGGGAATCGTAGCAGAGATCTTGGAAAATATATCAAGATCTATGTTATGTGTGTCTGATGGAGGCGGTTATATATATTTTCACGCAGTGCATCATACGAGGTATTCTGCAGATTCCTACGCGCGCTCTCTCAGGTACCCAATGATTTAAAAATCAGCTATCTCTAATACCTAGGAGGTTTTGTGCACGACCACCGAGCCAAGATGTCATCGACCACCTGATCGTCACAGCCATGTCAGCTTTTGCGTGCTCGTCAAGTCTGCGGGCGCGTAATGAAGCTCAGGGAAGCTTGGACTTAACCCTACTCTGGAAATAGGGACTGGCTCACTACAGGACAGGAGGAAACGCAAGTCCCTGTCGGCGTTCAAAAGTGCAGTAGCTTCTTCTATTTAACAATGGATGTATTTTGTTGTCTTGGCGCCGGAGATGTTGTAGGGTTGCGGATCCTATCTAGCTGTATACGAAACGTCGAAAATGAAGTGAAATAACCAAGTACTAGCAGTCAGTTCTCTCCACTGCATCCCCAAGCTGAACAGATTGCCTATCGCAAGAGTTCCAAGTATTGGGTAAGTAAGGCACCTTGCCGTTGTACATATTGCTGATTTTGTAAGAGATTCAGCGGGTACCGCTCGGGGACCGAACAGAACTTACAACCCAGACAGCCATTGCACTAGGTCAAATGTCTATGGCGGCACTATCTAATCTTGTATTGCTAAATGTTAGAAGATATAAATGCCAAAGCTACCGCAAAAACTGTCTTACTGTCACGGCAGACGACGCGTGGGAATGGTGGCCTGGCGAGGAGACTATCCTGAAGTAGATGTCGACACCCTTTTGGACCGCGTGCGACTCGGGCGGGCTTGCAGTCCTAGGATGAGAGAAGTAGGTTAGAAGACTCTTGGGCTGCTATAAATAAAACCATGATAATATTTACAGTGATCCTTTGATATGACTCAAACCACATAGTATTGCTGCAGTCCAGGTAACGAGAAGTATCTAATTACATGTATATGAAAGGATTCTCAGGCCGAATCAGAATCAAGCTACCATTCATAGCATTCTTCTAATGTAAAGACTGTACAAACACCTAAGCCACATAGCGTTGCTGCAGTCCACAGCCCCCAGCTCCTTTCCCGCCCAATTGCTGCAGATCGGATGACTCTCTCGCAGCCTCCGAGGCGTTATATATTACTACTACTCTTGTAGCCTCTTGCTGCAGAGAACCCTCGGGTTTCAAGTATCCCGAGGTCCCCGCGCCTTGGATCTTCCCATGTGGCCGACTTCAAACCCCGGGCCCAAACGGTGCCAGTCTTAGCCATGCATCCCAGGTAACCAGTTCGATTATCCCCATGTCCCCCGTGTCATATCCGCGCGCTCGGGCCGGAAGTAACAAAGCCTCAGGGTTCCGGTCAGGTTGATGGGTTGCGGGTTGATCATATTCTCACATGGTACGCCACGTGGACATATACCTTATATATTAATGCAGCAGTTCATACAAAGAGGGTCTGAATCAAGTAAAGATCTCAATCACCACGCTCACGAAGTCCAGACCTCCCAGAATTCAAATTGTTATCCATTCCTTACCAACTATGACGAACGAACTCAAGGTGTACCTGTTCGGCGACGAGACATTCCCCCTCCAGCCAGGCCTGCGGACGTTGCTCCACCACAGATCAAATATAGTACTGGACGATTTCCTCGTCAGAGCATACGACGCAATTCGTGTATTGCTATACGAACTGCCGCCAGCTGTAAGGGAGAACCTTCCTAATTTCACCTGTCTCGAGGATCTCCTCCTATGGAGCCCCGGCGTAGCACGATGCGTCCCGCTCGAGATGGCCATGAGATGCCTGTATCAAGTCGGCCTATTTATGGTTGAATCGGACATCGAAGACTTTTCCAGCGCGTCGTGTCGCGTCCTCGGCCACTGTACAGGCGCCCTTGTTGCGGCTGCTGTGCGCTGTAGTCGCAGCCCTCTGGACCTCGTGCAAAGGGGCCTTGAGACTATCGTCGTGGCCTTCCGAACAGGCCTGCTTGTGGCAGATATGGCGCAGCGAATGATGTCCATTCGAGCTTCGGACCAAAGCCAAAGTTGGTCAATCATTGTGTCCGGACTGGCGGCAGTAGAAGCGGTCGATCAGTTCTGTAAACGAAGCGTGAGCTCTTCACTTCTCCTACCAACCAGTCTGGGGTCCTATGGACCACCTGCGGTAACCGCGCTGACACTTACCTCGATAGAATCCACCCATGGCCAGCCGCCCGTATGTGAGCGCTTATGCGCCAAATGGAGTCACCGTCAGCGGGTCTCCGACTGCCTTGGCCGACCTCGTGGTAGCGGACGAGTTCAAAGATTTCAAATATAAGGCCATTCCTATCTACGGACCGTACCACGCGGCCCATCTGTACTCCCAACACGACGTTCACGAGGTTGTTAGTGGTGCCATTGCGACGAGGGCTGTAGGGGCCCAGCCCTGCCCACCGGTTTCGGACAGTGAACCCGACAGAGGCCGCGAGGACTTCGCAAGTAGCATGGAGCGCGCCGTTGCGGACATCCTGCTCCACCCGATCCGATGGGATGGCATCGTCGACCAATTGCAGACGTGGCTTCGTGAAGTCCAGCCGGCGTCATTAAAGGTTGTGCCAATCGCGTCCTCAGCAGACCGGTTGATCTACACTGCTCTCAAGCAGACAGAATTCGCGTCGCTCGTCCCATCATCATTAAACCCACCGAGTGGACCTGCAAAGTCCCCCGTCCCTCCCATGCCCACCGGAAAGAAGCCCAAGCTTGCAATAGTGGGAATGTCCGGGCGATTCCCTGGAGCCAAGGACAACGACGCATTCTGGGACCTCCTGCATCAAGGTTTGGACGTACACAAGCCGGTCCCGGACCTTCACTGGGATGCAAGAACGCACGTTGATCCCGCCGGCATCCGCAAGAATACCTCTGCCACGCCGTTCGGATGTTGGCTGGACAACCCAGCGGCGTTCGATGCGCGGTTTTTCAATATCTCGCCCCGCGAAGCGCCCCAGATTGACCCTGCGCAGCGCCTAGCATTGATGACTGCATACGAAGCAATCGAACAGGCGGGTCTTGTGCCCGATGCTACGCCATCCACCCGACGAGATCGTGTAGGCGTGTTCTACGGCGTAACCAGTAACGACTGGATGGAGACAAACAGTGCGCAGGATATCGATACGTATTTTATCCCTGGTGGTAATCGAGCCTTCATCCCCGGTCGAATCAACTACTGCTTTAGGTTCAGTGGGCCCAGCTACGCGGTTGACACGGCCTGCTCGTCCAGTTTAGCAGGGATCCACCTTGCGTGCAATGCACTGTGGCAGCGAGATATCGATACCGCTATTGCCGGGGGCACGAATGTGTTGACGAACCCTGACTTTACGGCCGGCCTTGATCGAGGCCACTTCCTTTCTCGCACGGGGAATTGCAAGACCTTTGACGATCAGGCGGATGGGTACTGTCGGGGTGAGGGGATCGGGACGGTGATTCTCAAGCGCTTGGATGATGCTCTGCTGGATAATGATCCGATTCTGGGAGTTATTGTGGGCGCGTATACAAATCACTCGGCGGAATCGGAGTCGATTACACGCCCGCATTCGGGGGCGCAGCGTGCTATCTTCTCCAAGATCCTCAACGAGAGCGCGGTGCACCCACACAGTGTTAGCTATGTGGAGATGCATGGGACGTAAGTGCTTTACTCGGATTGCAGGCTTTTCTAAACCGTTACTGACATTTTGATCTCAGTGGTACGCAGGCAGGGGATGCCGGGGAGATGAGCAGCGTCCTTGATACGTTTGCACCGCCGCCGTCGCAGGGACCAGCAAGAGCACCACGAGACGCACTATATCTAGGCTCAGCAAAATCGAATATCGGCCATGGAGAAGCGGCCTCAGGCGTGTCAAGCTTGATCAAGGTGTTGCTGATGATGCAGAAAAACACGATAGTCCCGCACTGCGGCATCAAGACGAGGATCAACCGCAAGTTCCCGACCGACCTGCGCGAGCGAAACGTGCACATTGCCCTGCAGCCTACGTCCTGGAACCGGAGCAGCAGATCCTCTCCGCCGCGGCGAGCGTTTGTCAACAACTTTAGTGCGGCGGGTGGGAACTCGGCGTTGCTGCTGGAGGATGCGCCGTGTCATGAGCCCGTTGAATTGGAAGGCGCAGATCCGCGAAGCCATCATGTTGTTGCTGTCTCTGCTAAAGTCGGCAGCTCCTTGCAGGGGAACATCCAGGCCCTGCTGGCATTCCTGAAAAACAGCAAGCCTGGCATTCCTCTGGGACAGCTGTCCTACACCACGACTGCACGTCGAATGCACCATCCCCATAGAGCCATGCTCGTCGGCTCAACCGTCGAGGAGCTTTGCGCCGAGGCCCAGGCCGCCCTGAGGAATGGTACCGGCATGACCCGACCGAAAAGCGCACCCAAGATCGTCTTTACATTCACCGGACAAGGAGCGCAGTATCCCGGGATGGGAAAAGATTTCTTCGCGCACTTCAGCCTGTTCCGCACGGAGATCTGCCGGCTTGACCAAATGGCTCAGAATATGGGCTTTCCGTCATTTCTCCCTGTCATTCAATCCGTGGAGCAAGATATTGCAGCGTTCGACCCCATTGTCGTGCAGCTCGCGAGCGTCTGTCTCCAGATTGCAATGAGCAGATTGTGGGCGTCTTGGAATATCACGCCTAGCGCCGTGGTCGGCCACAGTCTCGGCGAATACGCGGCGCTGAATGTTGCAGGGGTCATCTCGGACGCAGACACGGTCTACCTCGTGGGAAAGCGGGCTGAACTGCTCCAGAAAACATGCACACGGGATACTCACGCAATGCTTGTGGTACGGGGCGCTATGGATGATATTGCGTCCATTTTAGGAGATCAGGGGTACGAAATCGCGTGCATTAATTCCCCCGTTGAGACGGTCATCGCGGGATTGAACGACCATGTCGCTGCTTGGAGAGACTCGCTGGCGAGATCCGGAGTCAAATGCACCCTTCTCAAGGTCCCGTACGCATTCCACTCTGCCCAGGTCGACCCAATTCTCTCCGAGTTTGCCAGTCTTGCGGACCGCGTCACTTTTGCAAAGCCCCGGATTCCGGTTCTGCGGCCCTTGGATGGCGGCGTCGATGATTCTGACGACTTCGGCGGCGCATACCTTGCAGCTCATGCTCGTCAACCTGTGAACATGCTCAATGTGCTTGAAGTTGCGTACAGCAAAAAGCTCATCACGGACCAGACGGCTCTGATTGAGATTGGTCCGCATCCTGCTGTCTCGGGGATGGTGAAGGCCGTGCTTGGAAGCCAGGCCATCACGCTCCCATCCGCACAACGAGCCAGGTCCATCTGGCAGACCATCACCGCGGCGCTGAAGCAGCTATACATCTCCGGTGCCAATGTCCACTGGGCAAACTACCACCGCGACTTCAGGGCGTGCCACAAGGTCATTCCTCTTCCAGCATATAACTGGGATCTCAAGGACTACTGGATCCAATACGTGAACGACTGGTCGCTGCGGAAAGGGGACCCTCCACTTATGGCGCAGGCAACCACGCTAAAGAGCACGACAATCCACAGAGTCATCGAGGAGAGCGGAGACCATATCCAGAGATCACACATTGTGGTTGAATCCGATATCGCACGAGAGGATCTGAGTCCGCTTGTGCAGGGGCACGAGGTCGATGGGATCCCCCTATGCACGCCCTCCGTGTACGCAGATATGGCTTTGACCATGGGCAAGTACCTCCTTGAACGCTGTCGATCAGGGCAGGAGGATAATCTCGTGGACGTGTCAAACATGACCATATCCAAGGCATTGATCCTACGAGAAGGCGTCTCGCAACAGCTCCTCCAAGCGCACGCCGACGTAAACTGGACAACGCAATCCACCGAGATGAAATTCATGTCATTCAACGTAACCCACCATCCACCCTCCTCGGCGTATCCCGCTAACCATCACAGACCAAAGGAACCCTGCAAGAACACGCCCGCTGCACCGTCCTCTTCAAAAACAACACCCTACGATCGAACCTGCAGCAATCCGCGCCCGAAACCAAGCGCAAAATGCAAGCCCTACGCGCCGGCATCACATCTGAAACAACCGCGCGCTTCAACCGCCCCATGGTCTACCGCATGATCCGGCCATTAGCCCGCTTCCACGCGGACTACCGCGCAATCGACGAGATCGTGCTGAACAGTAGTACCCTGGAGGCATCGAGCCGGCTGAGCTTCGGGAGCGTCAAGCGCGGCGGCGACTTCCATACGCACCCGGCTATTATCGATGCGCTCACGCAGTCGTGCGGGTTTGCGATGAACTGCAATGATCGGACGGATCTGGATGTCGAGGTCTTTATGAATCATGGCTGGGGCTCGTTGCAGATTTTTGAGCCGATTGAGTTTGACAAGGTTTATACGACGTATACGCGCATGGAGGAGGGGAAGGATAAGTTGTGGCATGGGGATGTTGTTATTTTTGATGGGGATACGGTTGTTGCGTATTTTGGACAGATTGCGGTAGGCCGGTCCAGTTCATCTGTTGGTTTTGGATCCAGCTGACCTTTTGTAGATCCAGGGCGTTCCTCGTCGAGTCTTGAAGGTGATTCTTTCCCTTGAGAAGGGAGGTGACAGGTCCAAGAAGTCGCAGCCTGAGCTGTCTTTGCAGCCACTACAATTCAAGACTAACAAAACGCCACCTTCTGCAACTCCTCGATCATCCAGAATTGCAAAAGCACTCTCCATAATTGCAGACGAAAGCGGGCTCGCGGTTGCAGACTTGACGGACAATACGGTCTTCGCCGACGCGGGTATCGACTCCCTTTTAAGCCTCACCATCTCCGCCCGATTCAAGGAGGAACTGGACCTTGACGTCGACTTCAATGCATTTTCCTTTGACTATCCCACCGTCGGGGACCTCAAGGGTCTTCTGTGCGGCGAGGACGAAACAACATCGGGATCATCCAGTTCCAGCGGGAACGGGCAGACAACCCCCGTCGGCCACGACACAGAGACTACAACTCCCTCGGAATTTTCCACGAAAATCGACTTTGACCGTGTGCTTGAGATTATCGCTGAGGAGAGCGGCATCTCGCGAGAGGAGTTCACCGACGACACCAACTTTGCTGACTCGGGCGTCGACTCGCTCTTGTCGCTTGTCGTTGTCAGCCGCTTCCGAGATGAACTAGAGCTCGACATTCAGCATGAGTCTCTCTTCCTGGAGTGTCCCACTGTTGCGGACCTGAAGATGCTGTTGGTAGGAGCAGGAAGCGTTGAGGCTATCCCCATCCCCATTGAAACGGTCGCGGCAGAAGAGCTGGAGACGTTGAATGAAATGGCTGCAGGCCAAGAACCAAACAGCTGCTCTAATGACGACGAGACACTGGAGCTCACAATTCGCAAAAAAGCCGTAGACGAGCTCGTCGACAGATACACGGCCTCCTTCTCCGTTCCTGATTCCCTCCCTTCATCAGCAACCGGCGCACCAAATCCCAACGAGAAAGTCGTCCTGGTCACCGGCGCAACCGGCAGTCTAGGCGGCCACTTAGTCTACCATCTCGCACAGCTCCCCTGCGTAGAAACAGTGGTGTGTCTGAACCGCGAGCACAGATCCGGCTCCGATCCCTACACGCGTCAGCAAAAGGCAATGCGAGAAAAAGGGATTCGATTCCCGGACGCTCTGAAGCCCAAGCTTCTCGTTTTGCAAACCGACACCTCTAAGCCGATGCTGGGTCTCGCAGAACACGAGTATAAGCGCCTAGTCGGCTCAGTCACGCATCTCATCCACAACGCCTGGCCGATGAGCGCGAAACGCCCCTTATCCGGGTTCGAATCGCAGTTCGCGGTCCTGCAGAACCTTACCGACTTCGCATGCGAGGTCATTGCGCACCGGCCTAGGGAATTCAAATTCAGTTTCCAGATGGTCTCGTCGATCGGGGTGGTTGGTAGGTATGGTCATGCCCATGGCCCTAGCCCTAAATGCCAAGAATCCCCGACAGGTGTAGGAAACAAGACACCAACGCCAGAACGAACCCTCGTCCCCGAGTCACCCGTCGACATACCCAGCGTCCTCCCAAACGGCTACAGCGAAGCAAAATGGGGCTGCGAGCGGATGATCCAGGCGACAATGCAGACGCACCCGGAGCGCTTCCGGTCGATGATCGTGCGCCTAGGCCAGATCGCGGGCTCCAAGACAAGCGGGTACTGGAACCCCATGGAGCACTTTGGGTTCATGATGAAGTCGTCGCAGACGCTGGGCGTGTTGCCTGATGTGCCGGGGACGGTGTTCTGGACGCCCGTTAACGATGTTGCGGGCACGCTGTGTGACCTGGTGCTAGCTGAGCACGTGCCGTATCCGGTGTACCATGTTGAGAATCCGGTTGGGAGGCCGTGGAGCGAAGTCAACGGTATCTTGGCCGATGGGCTTGGGATCCCGGCGCTGGTTCCGTTTGGCGAGTGGCTTGCGCGTGTTAGGGCGGCGCCGCAGCGTGGGAATCCGGCTGCGACGTTGGTGGACTTTTTGGAGGAGACGTACTTGCGTATGAGCTGTGGGGGGTTGGTCCTAGATGTGAAGCATACCCTGGAGCATTCGGAGACTTTGGCGGCTGTGGGTGCGGTTAGCGAGGAGGTGATTAGGAAGTATATACATATTTGGAAGGAAATTGGGTTTTTGGATTGATGGGATTGCAGTGAATCCACCCGTGGACAATGGTTGATATACCTAGGTTTGTTTCCACTAATTCATCCATGGATGTGAGTACGGTGTGTCTTGAGTACAAAGCCAGTCACTTCATTATATTTATAAGCGTTTATCAAACCCTCAATAAGATACTAAGGATCTTCATATAATACTACCGTCAGTTTATGGTAGTCTTGATAACGACGCAAGCCATCTTATTCCGGTAGAGGTAGAATTGAAGAGTCAAAGGTAGCGATCTCGCCAGTATCCTTAGTCCGGATAGCAGCCAGGGTATCAGTATATCGGCCTTAACTAACACTCAAGGCTTCTGGAAAAGGAGCATCTCCATCCCCTACATAACTTTAAGGTCATGTCATACGTCATGATGCTTGCTAACATTGCAAGACCAGTTTACTAAAGCCTCGCGTTTGGGCTAGGCACATCGCCGCCAAGCAAGACATAAAATTACCATAAGCAAGGACAGCCTGAGTGTCCAAGCGACAGAGGGGATAACTTTCTGAGTTCCCTTTTACCCGTACCTCAGGGCTTTTGACGCGGAGCCCTGGTAACAGCCTCCTTCTCTACCAACACTGGCGCATTTTTCCAGGGAATCTAATTCGCCAAACCCTGGCTTCATAAATTACCCTAGGTATCATATGTCCATCACACAGCCGGCGAGGAATTCGTAGCAGAACTACGGTACTACTCAGCTTTATGGCTGGCTGTTTGCGTTACAATGGATTACGCATTGGCATTCCACGATTCAACCCTCGGTCTACTATAGGTGCAGTGACTTCGTCCAAAAGAACCTTGGAAGTCTTTATATTGTACATAGTCGGCCCTTGAGCTCTGGTAGCGCTGATCATTCTTCGAAAGAATCCACAACGAATTCATCCAAATCCCTAAATTGCAGAACAGTGACGATCCCCGATTCAGAACCAATGGCGATGGTATTGCCAAATATATCGCATGTATGTACTCGTCTGTCATCCGGGAGGTACAGGATCTTGTTTCCCAGGAAGATAACCCAGGGACCCTGGATCGCCCACCGAGATTCGCTAGAACCTTCGAACATCCTGGGTGTCACCAGCCAGTTATCTTCAATGGGTGCCGGGATCCAAGTCCCCTCATCATGTGCTGGCTCCCTATAAAATTTCCATGACTTTGTTTTACCGACATGGCTTCGACATACCACACGTAGACTGTCTGGAGAGAAGGATATGGCCTTGGTGAATGGGAATTCAGGGCGGAGAATTGTTGGTGCCGCATCTTTCTGCAAATTGAAGATGAACAATAGGCTACCATTGCTGGCACAGGCCAACAGTCGGCCGTCCGGGGAGAATTCTACAGCCCAGTTGTCCACGACCGGGTAGGTAGAGCTCAAACCCACGGGTAGGGTGTGTACGAGGACCCAATCGGCGGTATCCCAAATCTTAACATTAGAACGATAGCCTCCCGCAAGTAGTTTGCCATCAGGAGAGAATGCCACAGCAAGTAAATGCTCATCATTCTCCAGGGCGTGCTGGTATGACCAGTCCTGCGTATTTAGAATGTAAATGGAACTGTTCAATGCAGCGACAGCAAGCAGAGAGCCGGCGGGACTGAACCCCAATCCATAAATGTGAGTATCAACCGATTGATGCACCTGGGCCGTGTTTCCAGTGGCAATGTCGTATATTTTTACAACTGCGTCATCTGAAGTCGTTGCAATGATCTGGCCATTCGGGGAGAATTTGATAGCTGCAACACAACCTCTGTGGGTTGCGAATTGCTCTTGGAAGGTGTTGCCATCTAGATCCCATAACCGCACGGTGCCATCGGCAGACGCGGACCCAAGAAAACGTGAGTCAGCCGAGAATTTCAATAGGTAAATAGAATTTGTATGGTCTTTCAACATGTGGCATGGAGACCAAGTATTTGTGTCCCATATCCGAATATTGGAACTGTCGAATTGCCCGGCTAAGAGAGTACCATCCGATGAAAGAGCAATTTCACCAGACCCGGTTTCTGTGAATTCCACAGTTGAGGAAAGGACGTGCGTGACAGGGTCCCATATATGGATGGCTTTCCTGTCTGCCGTCGCGACACGATTCAGGGCAGGGCAGACAAACATGGACACGACTCCAGTTGTGTGCATGTCAAGAACGTGTTGAAGCATGCCTTGAGTACTGTCATAAATGCGAATCTTGGAATCCCAGGATCCTGTAATAACGCTTCTATTGTTTGGGGTAAATGCCAGACAACTCACACTATCCATGTGGCCATTTAAGACGCAGCGCAGTGACAGTAGGTCATTGTCCCATATGGCCGCCTGCTCATTTCCAGTAATGATTAATTGGCCGTCATGCGAAAAGGCTGCCCTCCCACCAGCAACGCTGTCTGGCTCCCCTGGCTCGCGTAGCAGTGTTCCTGTCATGACATCATACAAACACACTGCACCATTCGCCCCTGTTAAGACCCTTTTCCCATCGTGAGAATACTGCACAGAAACCACATACCATGGCCGTTCAGAAATGGTCTGTTGCAGGAATCCGGTTCGAATATCCCAGAAACGGATGGAACCATCGTCATAGCCGGAGACAAGTGTCTTGCCATCCGGTGAAAAGTCTAGACAGGTAGCGCTCTGCATGAAGGACCCTAGAGTGATCGAGGATGGCCATCGTACCGGGACGTCTGGGCGTTTGAGAAACCATGAGGGAATATCACGGGTGAAGAGTTTCTTTATCACACTGCTGGATGGGCTAAACAAAAGGGCGGAACAGTAGATTTGGAGGGGTGCTTCGCTAATGATGACCCGATTCGCCATTAGGAAGCGGGAGGTGTCCTGGATTAGCGAATTGATAGTCGGGCTTTTGTTCGACTACGTCGTGTGTCAGTAGGACGTGTAGGCTAATGGAGCGGGCTATTTGTTACCTCGACCAGTGCCCGCAATGCGACAAGGGAAGTGACCGCGTGCGGAACCATCCGCAGAAGGCTCATGGCTTCGAGCCAATATATCGCAGTGTTTGTAAGGAATTGGTGGACGGGTCCGCTGTCACTGACTGCCCTGTCCATCGCCTGGGGCAAGAGCTGTTCCGCATGAAAGATCCAGTACTTGCATGCATATTGCACCTCCGGGGGGATATGCAATGCAACAAAATCCTTGGAGAGCGTTTGTGGGTCGGCGTCAGGTGTAGCAAGCCTACATACATTCTTCCGTAGACATCCGGTCATGGCAGCAAGGCAGCCATGGAGCATGTTCTCGTGTAGAGAGCTGGAGTCTAGCTGAAGGTGCTGTAATGAAGGCGGCCGTTCCTCTAGAAGAAACTCACGGAACGAGGGATGAAAAATCCGAATAGGACGGTCCCTGTCTGGGAGGTGCCCAACATATGGAATATCAAGGACTGAGGCGAGCTTCACAAGTGTTGTCTCAATGCTCTCAGGCCCCGGGGGAAAGTCCACCAAGAACGAAGAACCAGCCAAGAGCTGATGTAGCGTGTTGATCGAAAGGGTGTCAAATAACACGGCCAGGGATCCTACGATAAGCTTGAAGATCTCTCGCTCTGTGTCATCAAAATCGTAGTTAGAGGCTTCCGGTGCGGAGGCATCCAGGATAATGTCGTACATCTGCCTTAGAGGGGCGAATCGGGAGGAGTCTATTTGAAGGAATTGTGATAGGCGCCGGCCGGGGTCCAGAGACCTGCCCAAGGAACGGGACAACGTCGCAGCGTAAATGAAAAGTCCCTCCGACCTGGAAACAACTTCATCCAGCTGCTCTTTGGTATACCATGCTGACCTGAAGTGGCGCTCTCCAATGTCATCGAATTCATGCGTGACAAACCTTCGAATATCGGCATCAACGAGGTCAGAATCGATCTGGTGAAGGACTATCTGTTCTAGATTTTCCCGAATGCGACGAAAGCCATAGTGCACTGCCTCTTGTGGTCTTCCGGTGACGAAGAAGCGGAGCGGTATAGTTTGGAGTCTGTTGGCCTGAATCAATAGCTCCAGGATAAGCCCAACATCGTACACAGGTTCGCATTCATCCACAGCGTCTATCACAATCACGACTGGCTGACGCCGTTCGTGAACTGTGGGATTGTCCAACTGCAATATCGGGTTCATGATAAGCTGTTCCCATTGCTCCCTGTAGGCCTTTCCGAACACATCTCGATGGGAGACTATAGCATCATGGAGGAGTGACCGAAAATGGCCTTTGTCATGACCTGAAAGGCCAGGCTTTACCGCAAGCTGGTAGGCAAGCGTGCCAAAAAGCTTCGTGGCACTGCCTCGATCGCCGCCCTGTCGCGAGAAGAAGAATGTCGCGCCGAGGTGTCCCTTTCTAGACAGATTCTTAGCGACTGTCTTTGCAATGATCGTCTTGCCAGATCCGGCCACCCCTTGCAGCCAGAAAACCGGCTGCGCATTGGCACTGGTGGCCCAATGCTGGATTTCTTCCATCAGAGCAACTCGCGTGTCATCCAGGCAGGTCCGAGTATCCTGCAGCTTCTGGGAATCAAAGCATGCATCCATTACTCGAGGGATCTCGCTGATCTCTTTAGATATTTCTATTCGGGGGTCAGCGAGGCGTCAGCAGGGGCGTTAAGAGCACTTACCAGGCTGTTGTTGCGCCGAACTCAACCTCCCCTCCTCCACTATGCTTTTCGCACAAGCGGCTGCCGTGACGGCCGAGTACTGCTGCCACACCTTGTTCTTATGGCTGTCCGCGTAGTCGCAGGCCCCCTTGACAATGATTGTTGGTAGGTAATCCCAAGTCCCGGCGCCCTCCATCTCGAACCCGATAACATCGTGCTCATCCGCTAGCTTGTCACGGTGATATCCGCTCTTCATTACCGATTCGCCAGAGGCGAACTTGCCGAACAAGACTGATGGCTGTCGGGCATGTGTGACGGCGTTGGTATCTTGTATACGTGTACCATCCGGATGGAGTCCGGTGGCGAGGCGGTTCCTGGGACGAAAAGCTAGATGTGCGCTATTGCAACCAAGCTCGGTACACGGCGTTCGCAGGGACGCTGCACATGCCGGGTCGTGTGGATGCAAACACCGGGTACAAGTTTCACATTCGTGAGCATTCTGGTGTTTGTGGCGATATCCCGAGTCATACAGAGTATCCTGCTCAGGTCCTGGATACGTCGCACCTGGAAGCAGGCCGCGTTTCAAGATTTCCTCAGTGTAGGCAGCGGTTTTCTCTTCCAGTCTCTGAATCGAGCTGATCCCTTCCAATTTGTGAAGGAAAGTGCGTATCGCGACCGGCGCCAGGCGTATGGTATCCTCCGTCCTCCCCAGAACAAACCCATCGGGGTATTGATGACCATAGCTCGCCCTGAGCATGGTTGTGCTGACAATAACGTCTCCGAGGAGGACTTCTTGTCCGGCGTGGTTTCGAGCGTGAGGATTCACCCCGCAGACCCCGACGACGATGGCGAGTTTCACGCTGGGGAAGGTGGATGGGATACTCGCGGCAGCCGCGGCCGAGCTCACATTCCCAACGCCAGGCAGGTACGCAATTACCACGTTATGGCTTCCGATGCGGCCGGTCGTGTAGGCATTCGTGTCGCTAGGGGCTTGCGGGTAGACCAGGCCATCGCGCTCGTATCGTTCGTCCAGGGCCAATTCAATCGCGTCACGCTCGACCTTCAAGACGCAGAGAAACGCGATCTCGAATGCTCGTGCATGTCTAGGATGGGTCATTTCTGCAGACTAAGTCGCCAAAAGCGCTTTTTGGACTCTTGAGATCCTCGCGCCGCAGATCCCATGGATGGATCCCACCAAAGACGAGGCTCGATCACGCAGGATTTTCATCTCACGGCGACGTTTCATCAGGCTGACTTGTTCACGTGCCTCAGGTGACTCTGCAAAAGCAAGGATTATGTTTATAGGCCATCATTTGCTCGTATATGCACACCCCAGTCTCTTTTCCGTGCCTGCGATTGGCATACCTCAGCCATGGCGCCAGTGAGGCCAGTGGTAAATCGGGCACCGTGGGGGTCACGGCCAGTCTTTCTGGCTCCTAGCAGTCCATTGGGCCATGCCATCATTTCGAATGACTTTTCCATTCCCCAATAATACGTAGGTCCCGTCATTTCTAGGGCGCAGGCTTTAATGCCGGGAGTAATGCGCGTGGCGCGGAAGGCTAACCTGGCCAAATTAGGAAATAGGGCATAGCTCTATTTCTTTGTAGAATAGGGCCTTTAATAGGAAGACGTTGTGTATCCATGGTAAGAACTGTTCTGAGTTGAACTTGGTGTTTTATGCGTTATGTGACTGGCCGCCGCCTTGGCGCGGGGCTAGTTCGGCGCCGAAGTTCCTCCGTCAGGCGGCCTTAGGCCTTTATACATCACGTGACTGGCCGCCGTACACCCCGCTGGCTTTGCAAGGCAGATATATATATTTAACCTGGCCTAATTAGGAAATAGGGCATAGCTTTATTTCTTTGCAAAATAAGGCCTTTAAGTAGTATTTAAGACTTCTAGAACTAAGGGGGCTACGCCCCCTTAAACCCCCCTGGCTCTGCGAGGCAGATATATATATTTATGGTAAAGCTGGGAAAGAAAACGCGGTAAGAAAAGATTATGTGACTGCCCTTTTTTCTGGCTAATTAAGTTAAAGCAGTAAGAAAAGGTCATGTGACTGCCCTTTTCCCTGGCTAATTAGCGTCACTTAGTTTAAGCGGTGAAAGGAGGTCATGTGACTGCCCTTTTTTTTAGCTAATTAGTGTTATTCTGCCGTTTTACATGATCCCTAATTGTAAGACCGACAAGTCTCAAAGATCTCTACTAACAATGAAGATATTAACAAAGGAATCTAACTAATAAGAATAAAGTATTTTAAACCCCGTTAGATAATACTAAAAAAGTTACTTAAAGATTTTAAAAAAGGCTGGCCTTAAAACTATTTTTATAAACCTTTAAGCTACGCTTAAGCTATTCCTAACTAAAAAATAAATATAGGTTTAAATACTTTACGCATGGGTTTTTACTTTAGCCTATATTTAAGGCCTACCCTAACCTTACTTAACTAGTAGCCAAGACCTTAAATATTAATAATTTAGTTAAGTTATATAACCTAATATAATAATAAGGTATATTAAGCCTTAGTAGCCTAAGGCTAAAGCTTAAATTACTTAAGGTGTTAATTTTAAACTAATAGTAGATTAGCTTTAATAATATTAAATAAAAAAATATTAGCCTTAATAATTTTTTTTTCCCTTAATTAAAGGGTCGTCCGCGACCCGCTGCTAAATTAAAAAAAAATAATAATAAAATACTATTATTATTATTAATATTAATACTAAACATAGCTTTATTATTGCTATTCTTAACTTTATTAAAGTGTTATTTAATATATTAAATTTAGTATCTTATTTTTATTATTTATAGCGCTTTAAATAAAATATAATATTTATTTATAACTAAAAGGGGAAAGGCGGCGCTTTAATAATACCTAGTATAAAAGTATAAATTATAATATAGTTTATAATTTTATAAACTTTTAAATTTATTAAACTTTTTATTAAATAAAAAGTTACCCTTTTTTTATTATAGCTAAAAAAAAAGCCCTTTTAGGCACTGCCCTGGCTTCCTAATAAGTAAAAAAAAAGTGCCTTACTATAATTATAATAATTTAAAATATCCCTGCCTTTGCCCCTTAAACTCCCATGGTGGTATAATTATAAAACCTTTTTAATATAGTATTTTTGCTAACTTTAAAAGCCCTTAATATTTTTAATCTTTTTTTTACGCTAGTCCCCTATTAATTTTAAAAACTTTAATTTTAATTAATTCTTAGGTGGCGATAACTAGTATAACTTATATTTAATAAGCACCTTTAAAATATATAGTAAAATTATGGGTAATAATTTAGTAAGTTTTTTTTACTTTAATAATTATTAACCAGCGGCGCTCCGCCGGCGCTTTACTAAATATATTAACTTTTAATTTATAATAGCTACCTTATTATTTAACTATAACTCCCGCGCCTTTTAGCTTACCTTTTTTTACTTTACCTAGTATTGTGCTAGCCTTTGCCCTTATTAATACCCTTATTATAGGTTTTATATTACCACCCCCTTAGGCTTCTTTTTTTTTAGCCTTTGGCCTTTTTTTTTTTATAAGTATACTTTATTTTTAACTAGTTTACTAGTGGAACAGCTTTAGTATAAATATTAACTAATAAAAAATAGGTTTGCTTGTAGTGTGCAAAGTATGTTTAGGCATGTAAAAATAATAGGTTAATTAATAATTTTAATAACTGTGTTTATTTAGTCCCCGGGTGTAATTACTTTTATTATATTTATAATAAGGGCACATGCCTTTTCTTGTTATTTTATATAAAAAAAAATATTACCTTTTTATAATAAATAAACCCTAGTAACTATAATAAATACCTTTATTATTAAAATATATTTATTTACTAGGTTAAACTAGTAATAAAGGCCTATAAAAAAAAATAAGCCCTAAGGTCCGCGTAATAAAGATTTTAGCTTTAGTTATTTAAAAGCTTGTTTAGTCCTTCCGGCTTGCTGTTAAACAGCCCCTGGCCTATTTTAATAATAGCTGGAATAGCTACTAATCTATAAATATCTTTTTTTTAAAAAATAAACCTGTCACGCCTTTTTTTTTAAAAAATACTAGTTATAAAAAAAAAATACCTAAAAAGGCCCCTGCTCCTGCTCCTAATATTAAATAGTGATTTTTTATTATAGCCTTTACCATGTAGTTAGTTATTATTTTTTTTTTTTTTAAAAAAAATAAAAGATTTTTTTTTTTTTTAATACTTTAACTTTAATATAAATATAGTTTTTTATTTTAAATTATAATTTAAAATAAGTTTTAATATTAAGCCGGCGGTGGTTTAGCTATAATTTATTAAATCTTAAAACCCTGTAAAAAAATAAAAAAGGTAACTACTTTACTTATAGTTTTAGGTATAATTTTAAAACCTTATAAAATAAAAAATCTTGCACTTTTTTTTAAAGCCATAGGTAACTAGTAATAATTAAGTGGTGGTTTAATAAT